GCCGGTTCAAAATGTGGAAACAAAGATGCGAATTGCTATTCACCGGGCCTATGGCTAAAATTGACGAGGAAATCAAGTGTAAACATTTGTTGTACTGGTCGGGAGAGCAAGGTATCGAACTGTTCAACAGCTGGGATCGGTCTGCAGACGAGCAAAAAAAGCTGGACAACTACTGGGAAAGATTTGAGCACTTCTTGAAACCACACTCGAATGAGTTAATAGTAGCGTGGGAGCTTTATAACCTTCGACAAGGTACTCTCTCTCTTGAGGAATTTATTGCGAAACTAAGAATTCTTGTGAAGGAAGCCAATTATCCAGCCGAACACAACGATCGTTTCCTTAGAGATTTTCTTGTACTGGGTATGAAATCTGACCGTATACGTAAGGACTGTTTCAAGGTTGGAAATACTCTCACGTTTAACACAGCTCGCGAGATGGCCAAGTCAGAAGGGTCAGCAGAAAAACAGCTTCAGATAATGAATACCGAGGTACACTCCATCAATGCACCTAAAGGATACCAAGGCCTCAAAAATCAGCGACAAAACACTAGTTCAGGCAAATCCCAGGCTTGCAGGAATTCCGGCTGGGGTCCTCATTCCAGAGATCAGTGCCCAGCGAAAAACGCAACATGCCATTATTGTCATAAAGTAGGACACCTAGTTAAGGTATGCCTGTCAAAGTTAAAAAAGAAAGATGTGCATGACTTTGAAGCTATAAGTAATGGTGCATGCGAGTCTGTACCAGACCCCAATGATCACATATTTCTGGGCCCAGTTGGTGTAACACCCTTAACCAGGTGCCCGGCAGGAAAACAGACACCCGTCCTATGTAAGATAGACTCTGGTGCAGAAACCAACATCATATCCACATTCTTGTACAATCAACTTGCCCCTAAGGTTATGAATCTACAGAAACCTACCGCCAAGCTAACAGCATATGGTGGAACTGAAATCCCGAGCTTGGGCTCCTGCCGAGTTTACCGGTTAAGGGCCCTAACAACCCATAACGCAAAGTAATCCAGGCAGAAGTTGTAGATGTCGATGGGCCTCCCATCATTGGTAACATATCAGCCCAAAGTCTGAATCTGCTGAAACTTAAATGGGCCGTCGCCGTTGAAAGTAACAGCAAATCAACCAGTCAGTCCTTTAAACTATTAGACGCACATGGTAGGCCACATCCCTTCCCACTGACGAAAGAATACCTTCTGAAAGAGTATCAAGATGTCTTTACTGGACTTGGCTGTTTCCCTGGCCCCCTATACCATTTAGAAACTAAGTCGGATATTCCCCCAGTACAACACCCTCCACGGCAGATTCCAGTCCACCTGCAAAGTGCCTACCGAGGAGAACTACTACGGCTAACACGGGCAGGCATTTTAGTAGAAATACATGATGAGTATACACCATGGGTCAATTCAACAGTGGTCATAAGAAAGCCCAACGGCCCGATCCGCTTATGCCTAGACCCTCGTGACCTCAATAAAGCCATTCAGCGCACCATAAATGATGTGATACCCAAGGTCAGTGGCGCCTCCCACTTTAGTATCCTCGATGCCCGAAGCGGATTTTGGCAAGTTGAACTGGACGATGAAAGCAGCAAACTTTGCACTTTCAGTACTCCATGGGGCAAATACAGATGGAAGAGGCTGCCTTTCAGACTTACCTGCAGCGGAGACGTGTTCCAAGAGAAAATGGACGATGTGTTTGGAAACCTCGATGGCCTGAGTGGTATAGCAGACGATACCTTTGTTTACGGCAAGAGCGAAGCAGAGCACGATCAGCACATACTGAATGTCCTTGACACAGCACGGGAGAACAACATACGATTCAACCCGGATAAGTTTCGGTTTAAANCATAGTCAAGACAACGAGTGGGTCTGAGCTAAGACGCAACAGAGTCCAGCTAAAGCCTTTACCTTTCCAGAAAACACCAACAACCTGTGGAGAACAAGTTATTAGCAACCAGGAGAGTACACTGCCGGACAGCCATGAGACAAAGCCCTTACCTCTTCAGACGTCATCATCAGAATTACCTCAGGCGCCTGCCAAGTCACCGTTACCTTCCAACCAAGGCAGTAACAAGTTGCCTAGGACAACCAGGAGTGGCCGCATTGTAAAGGAGCCATCTAAACTAGACTTATAAGCTTCCTTTTGCTGTCCGAAGGCCGATGAAGAAACGCTCAGAGAAACACATAAACTCTGTTTTTACTGTTATTTTTGTTGTTTCTGTTTTCTTTTCTCTTTTTTTTTGTTGGCTGTTACTTGTTTTTAGAAACTTAGATTTCCGTTTTTAGCCTTTCTTAGGGTGGAGATGTTACATTAGCTAAGCTTACGCAATGGTCTGGCGCATGCGCAGAAAAGGACTAAGCACATGTTTTGGACACAAAGTTTATGTTCCTTGATCTAAGATAACTAAATAAAATTACCAAAAGCAGCAAATACTTTTACAGTTGCAGAACCAAAAAACCAGTGATCGTGATATAACCTAAGGGGAGTGGGAGAGGAGTGGCCAAATAGCTGAGGTGGAGTGCTTTACCCAGAATTAAGGGACCAGTCATTTATTAGAAGGGGGTTGGGCTGGTACATTTTGATTTTCCTATACATAATTTCCCATGGGCCTGTCCTTGCCATTGCATAACATAATGTGGTCCCCCTTCGAGTCTATACATGAGTTAAGAAGACCTGCCCTCAACCACAGAAACGGTTTTAATACAACTTAAATAAAACACACAGAAACTATTTAAAGCAAATGGCAAAAATAAGAGAAAGGCATAGAAGAGAAAAGCTGGACGAGGAAAGAGTTTTGGTTTAATCTCTAAACTACTGTCTGATGGTGAGATTCCAGTTAAGGAAGTAAATGTGGCTGCTCTAATATCCTTAAAAGGGACACAAGTTTACTGGCCAAAGCAAAATGATGGAAAGAGAGCTATAAGTGATCAAGCTTGTGCACTAAATAAAGAGTACTTGCCCTCTATCAGTTATTCAAACACTGAATCAGGACAGTGATACTGAGTAATACTGAGTAATACATGAAGTTTTTTTCCAATGTGAAAAGACTGCTATACACCATGTTATGTTGGTTTGTTACGCCATCATTTTGATAGGAAATCATATTTGACTTGTTGTTGATTCCTTCAGTGTTGTTTCTTTTTTGAGGAATGGATATTGGAATGCACAAAAATACATGGCCCATCAGAAATGGTCACACAATTTTATGCAGCCCCCATTTTCAGGAGCACAAAAAAAGTATGACCCCACCCCATTTGCACCAGCCCACCCCCCTCTAATAAATGTGCAGTCCCTAATAAGCTCCCTTGTAAACCATTCCTGACTTTCCTTCCTGCCTGTAAGGACTTAAGTTATACATATCAGGTGTCGAATAGCTTAACTGAATATTTTGCAACATAAAGAACCCACTGAAATGTGGTAAAGGGTTTAGAAATGACACGTGATTAAGACCAAAATTAACATGTAATGCATGAATTGTACAGGAAGGCAAGGTAAGGCGAGGTTTGAGGTTTTCCCTGTTTAAAGTACTTGTGACTACAAATCGACATATTCACAAACATTGTTATAACCGTCATCAATTACAGCTACTTATTTCCCTTTCTCCCCTCTTTTTAAAGGGGTGATCAATATGGATGGTTACCAGCTTCAATTTTATTCTGTAACTTAGCTGTTCTGGCCCTAGGAGTCTGGGCAGTAGCATCAGCAAGTAATGAAGATGCCTCCCACTTGGTTTGTATACATGACATCTATTTTTTAGTTTAACCTGAGTTAAACTTGACTCAGACTTACAATGATTTGAACTTGAAAACATAAGGTTTCAAGACAGAAGAAGCATTGCAACCATGTTGATGTTATTACTTGGGGTGAAACATACATCCTCTAAAAAGGAGATAAAATATAAAATTTCTAAAGAAACTGTGGTGCTGCATTTGTAGGAGAGTATAACAAGGTAATTTGGTTTTTATCAGCTAAGTTGATGATGTAAATTAGCCGCCATAAAGAAACTGTGGCAGTGGCCAATTAACATCACGAATAGTTGATAGCAGAATATATTTTCTATAAAAAAGTAGTGGGAAAGAACAGATAATCTGGCTTAAGCAAGGTTCCTCCGTACGTACAATAATAGATTACCGCTCTAGAGACCATCTAAAATTCTTTAAAATCATAGAGGTCTTTAATAAAGAGTCACTCAGCCCAACAAAGAAGATTTACAAAATTGTAGAGTCAAGAAAGTTATCATTAAGTTAAAATTATAGTCACACAGCGCCAGCAGGTTGTCCAGCGGTGTTTGTTTAGTTTTATGCGCGCGCTCATACGGGTGACGCCTGACTGTTTTCTCTCTATTGTGTATCTTCCACCTTGTTTCGCCGTGTATGAATAAAGCGTATTCGTTGTGTAGTTCGCGTTACTTACTAGCGCAGGAATGCGCAGATCGATTTCAAAGCTTCAAAATCCCCTCCCTCAGGCAACCCCCCTAGGCATTTGAGGTTTTGAAGATTGGCTGGTTCAAATCCTTGCCCTCCCACCCTGTAAGGTGAAACTGCATTCAAATGCCCCCACCCAATATTTAGTTATTCTCTGTGTATCAACAAATTCTGTAGAATTTCACAAAATCAGGTATTCGTTTTTGGAGTTCATGTTGGGTTTTTCACTCGTAAACATCATTCCTGGATGGGAAAACTGTCTTTCTAAGCCATTCTTTCACATAGGCAGACTTTTTGTCTTTCCTTAAAACCACTTTCAGACACTTTCATTTCAAATGCCTTACAGCCACCAGGGCAAGTTGGGTTGCCTATGGGTTGCCCGGGGGGAAGGAGGTTGACGTTTCAAATTGATTGGCCACAACTCATCGCAGTGACTAAGTATTGTTTCTTAACTTATCACTAAACAAAAGATAAACATAATTTTGCTATCTCTTGTAGTGTCGTTGAGAATGCTTTTTACTATCATTCATGACATCATAACTATAGTCATCTGTTATAACTCCAATAACTTGAGTAAGTTGAAACAGAAATGGGAATGAGTTTTGTTGAAACACTTTATGAAGCTCTTAAAAGTCTTCCTTTTATTCATTGTGATTATGCATGTATATAAATCCATTGACAGTACTGAAGAAAGTATGACGTTTCTTTTCGGTTCCACCCCAATTAAAGTATTAGAACTCCAATATTGATTAATTTCTCCTCGCAATTAACATATACATTGCATGTTGCTGGGTTCATGTCTCAGAAAAATTATTTAGATTTTTACTGTTAAGAAATTATTTTTTAATCGGCATATTGCTTGTTACAAACAGCTTACCACTGTATTAATCCAGCTGATGCATTTGTTTGTTTAGGTGTTTTACCTTTGGTTTCTAAATTTAAGCTCTCTGTACCGACGGTTACCACCTTCTATATGTACATTGAATTACATTCTGTTGCATATTGACCCTTGAATTATCTTGAGAACGTGAAGAAGACTGAGTTTTTTTTCATGTGTTCAAACATTATTCAATACAACTTATTTGTCTTGTGACCCGAGCGATAACTGACTGAGATGGCAATGTCAGATAATTTCTCATAATAGCCCCACTACCAACAGACTGGAAAAAAAAATTAAAGAAAACACATACATGCAATTTCACCGACTTAATTACCAATAAATTTATTGATTTTTAGGAAGTACTTTGTTTTCAGCTCTTTTAACTGTTTGAACTACAGATAACCCTCTTTTAGATGTAAAAGTTTATTGGAATGTATTATATTGCGTCTATTTTTCAACTTTCAGAATCCCACCACAGGTTTTGTGTGGTGTATCCTTTGTGATTTACAGGCCAACAATTTGAAAAAGGCTTTTTCAGGACACCTGAGTAGTCAAATGGCTAGAATGAGGACGTAATACATAAAGCAACATCAAACAAAAATTGTAAAGAATTAAGTAATTTAACTAACATTGTAGTACCTCACAACATGCAAAATACCTTGTACACTATCTCTCCTAGCTTTTCTTAAATCTAGTCTACTGATAAGAGTCTTCTTTAAAGAGAAAGAGTCCTGCGGTCCAGCTTACTTGTTTGCAAAATGTCTCACATATTGAAATTGAATTTGGATATTTTTTTCTTTGGACATGGAAAGTCAAAGTTGATTTTCTCACTTTGAGAAGACACATTTAATGCAGTACTGTTGAAGTGATCCCAAGTGAAGTTTCATAATTATACAATGTTTTTCAGTCTATTCCATGTAGCATCTTTGAACATCCTAGTAGCAATGAAAGTCAAATTGAGCATTGTCATTGTCAATAAATTGTTTACACAGATGGAGCCAGCTTTTGCTTTTTAGAAATTATTCAGGTATAATCTTTATACAATTATACATTTATAGATATCTTCAAAAGCGAATGCGTTTTTTTTTCAGTTTAGGAATACCGCAAGGTTGCATGAATGTAAGTTTGTTTCTATACAACACTTACAAACATCATTTCCTTGACATCTATTCCATTCCAGAATGGCTAATTTAAGTTTGATTTTAAAGGTAAGTTGTTGACTTTAATTCATCCTAGACAAAGGGCCTAAGTTTAGAAAAGGAGTCTTCCATCTTCCTTTGGAGGAGTGTTTGGGAAATTAAAGCCCTCTAGAAAAAGAAACAACCTCGGCTATTTGATAATCTGTCAGAGCAGACCTCTGAAAGAATTGGTGCTATTCTTAAATAAAATGTTCTAATTCTTGTTCAAGAATGTTCTGTTACTCAAAGTGGAAAAGTGGCAAGAATAGTTCATTAGCTCTCAGTTGAAACTTCAGGTCAAATTTGTTCCTGCCGAACATAAGTCTAAAGATCTCCAATCTGAAAAAAGGGGATGCTTCCATGTAATTTTAACACTGTAGAATCAACCAAACAATCAGAACTACTCTTCGCAACAAATGGTAAAACGAACTCTATATACCTTTTTCCTTATTTTTGTTTTGAGAAAAAAGTAAGTTAGAAAGGAGTATGGAGATCCCTGCCCGCCAGAATGATTCAGAAAAAAAATATCACAGAGACGTGACGTATCTTCTGACAGTTTTATGGGACGTAAAATTTTTCCAAAAGCATACAGCCTTAAACATTGTATGCTTCTGACATTGAAAATAATTGAAAGTTTCTGGCGAAACGATTTTTTTGACGGCAGGGCCGTCGAGTCAGCCACTTTCAAAGTTGTCAAAAAAGGGGTTCGTACAACTAATAGGTTATTGAAGCCCATGTTAGAGACGAAAAAACATTTTGGATTAAGTGACGGCTCCGGTAGTAGATTAAGTATGCATAATCTAAAAATTTCATCTTGATTTGCAACTCATTACAACTCATGGTAAAGTATTTCAGAATATTGACAACCAAGATCAAAAGTTCAAATCAGAACAGCCTGAATTGGAATATTTAATTAAAACCCCACTCTGTCTGGCATGCCTTTTACAATGAAAAAATTGGTAGTTATCGCATAACTTTGTCTTCTACCACATACCTTTTTTTCAGAAACTTTGCAACATCCGTTTAGATGTATATAATTATGAACTTTGAGATTCTGTAAATTAATTTTGCTATATTCAGCTTTCCTTTATTTCAATCGACAGGTGTACCTTTGGTCAGCGTCATGTGTTTGCAAAATTGAACTGAAAACTAATAAGTATAGGTAATCGCATGGGGCCGAGTTAAATTAAGGATTAATATCACGCGTGTTTTCGGAAGTTGCTGAAATTTCCCGAGTCGCGCAGCGACGAGGGCAATTTCTGCAACTTCCGAAAACACAAGTGATATTAATCCTTAATTTTACGAGGAACCATGTGATTGGTTGTTTATAATATAAGGGGCAAAATGTTTTCTTACTGATCTCGCGCAAAATGGGATGCCATTATTACAAAACAATCAGAAATTTCTTTACCTTGGCAGCCGTTGCTAAGCGATTTTCAGCCAATCATTTTGAAGTAATTTTGCAATTACAAAAATTAAGAAAAAAAATGCCCTCTGTCTTGACCAATCACAATTCAGTAATTTTGCCGCTTATATTATAACAATAGGAAAAATGAATTGTTTCTCTAATTTTTATTATTTCTAAAAGGGTGTTTGAAGTTTTTGTCATTTACCCAGGGAAACAGGTAAAATATTTATACACGTGAAACTCTGATATGAAAGCATGTGTTGGCAAAGTCTAAATCAAGTTTTGAAACCTATATCAATTTTTAACTCCTACCTTAGTACAGAATCGAAATCGAAAGAGTGAACGGGAAGGATGTTTTTGAATGTCACACGCCTTAAGTTATCACGGAGAGACTTCAGACAAGAAGATGGATCGCACTTAGGAAACAAAAAGACTACATCATTCCTGGTGCTATATTTGTAGTCGGTCTCATCAGGACCGAAAGAGTTCAGATATAGCACGATTGCATGCTCTCTGTTCAAAACATAACAATGCTGGAAACACTTGATGAAAGAAACATTTAAGATATTTCCATTTATTTCATCAATGTCATCTTCTCTTAAAATTAGAATTGGAAAAAAAACCTAGTGTACCAATGGTGTCCTGTAAAGACAGCGTAAGCAGCATCAGCTTTTTGGGGCTGTCATTTAGAATAGTTGAAAACGGATTATTACCTTGCACGTCTATGACAGACGCGCTGTTTTAAAAGTTTCGAAAACAAGTTTTAAAAGAGTTTGCCGAAGTGTTTGTACTCGTCCCCTTGGTACTGATGATAAATTATGAAATATTCATTGCTCGTAGCACTAAGTTAACCAATTACTTGGCAAGGCGAAAAAAATAACGTAGCTTTTCTTTGCTTGGATGGTTCATTGGGGGAATCGTTTTCATGACCGCATGAGAAACATTCACAGGAATAGTTTTCTGTGTGTGATGATGAGATGAGGCGTCGATCATAAACTTAAAGTAAAAATATAAATAAATAAAAGGGATTTTTTAGGGGCCCACGAGTTTCTCATAGAGATCAATTGCACCAATTTATTGTGTCTTGCATCAGAGGCATTCCTAAAGATGTCAGGTTTTGATTTATGAATCATGGTTCCTTTTGATAGCTACTCTGATCATTTTGCTAAGGTGCAGAATATGAGCAGCCCCACACGTACTCGCCGGCGTATTTGCAGTTTTAGGTCAAAGTTTTGTGGGCATGGTATACCTTACAATGGCCTTCTATTTGACAACCCAAACAGATACTACTTGAATGGCGTGATATGTTGGCTGAGGGAATATATGCCTCACCAATACAAAAATTATTGTATGGGAGACGGACACGCATTGTCGCTAAGACCCTGTTAGAGTCGCTTGTAATTATTAGTGTGTCAGATAAGATTAAGAGGAGAAAGCAAAGGCAGAAGCACTGCTTTGACCGGCACACTCAGGAAATTCCAAAAGTGAACACCCACCAGACACTGCCTTTAGCTGACAGAGTCTGGTCAGAAGAATAACCCAAACCTAACTGAGTCTTCGCTACCTACGGTTACACCCACAACAGACCAGTAGTAAGCCTAGTAATCCCATGCGCGAATGCCGTCTGCCTTTGTAATCACAAGATTCCGAGTACTGATTTTTGAAACAGACTTTGCTTTTAATCTATATGCACTGTAGCAGTTTGCTTTATAAAAGGATTTACTTCAAAAACCGGACAACTACAACGGAACTATTTTACAAACTGCTCTCTTGAATTACTTTCAGTTATCACTGAAATCGAATATATGAAATCATTTATGTGCATTGCGGTTTCATGAAATGTATGAAAGCGATCCTCGCAGCAATCAACCCTACATATGTAGTCGAGAAAATAAGGCCTGACAAAAAGATTAAGGCCCGTACAGAATTTGAACCAATGATAGGAATCAACAAAATTACCAGCTCCCAGTTGGCTTGTCAAATTAGTTGGTAGTCATACACAAAGTAACATCGCACTGTTCCCGCCTTGGCAGTTAAGCGAGAGATAAAGACCAGCTGTGGCAACGGTATAATTAAAAGGAGTGACGAACCTTTCTCTCTATGGTTTCTCCTGTATGTTATGGATAGTATAAAATTCTATATACCTAGGGTATATGAAACATCTACTAAAAAAAGTCAAATGTCCATTTTACATTTCTCACTCGGAAAAGGGACTGTCATAATAAAAATGTGCAAGCAATTTTATAAAAAGTGTTGCACCCTATGTCTCCTTTATTCCCCTTTGTTCCTAAGGGGACATAGGTCCTCAACTAGAGCGCGCCACCTAACCCTATTTTGTGCAGTACCCTTTGCCTCATTCCACGTGGGATATTTCCTCTCTAACTCTGCAACTCTCGTAAGTCGCCAGGTGTTCCGGGGTCTCAATCTCTTTCGTTTCCCCTGCAGGTTCTATTCCAGTGCCTCTTGACTACATGTCCATCTGATGTCAACGTGTGGCCGATCAAGCCCCAAGCTCTTTGTCTTATCTCTTGCTCTATTGGACGCTGCCATGTTTGTCTCTAGAGCTCCTTATTGCTGATTTTTCGAGGCCACCAAATCCCAAGGATGTTCCTCAAGCTCTTATTGATGAACACTTGCAACTTCTGCTCCAAACTCTTGGTCAGCCTCCAAGTTTCAGAACCATACAAGAGCATCGCTTTCCCATTTGACCCAAAAACTCTCAGCTTGATCATCGTTGTTAGTGCTGTGGATCGCCATATTGGTCTCAGCATCGCAAGTGCCTGTCTCGCCTTTCTAATTCGTGCCTCGTGTCCTCGTCAGTGTCTCCCGTCTTACTTACAATGCTCCCGAGGTATGTAAACTCACCCACTTCCTCAATCTGCCCCCTGCAATCGACACACCATCGCCACGTTTGGTACCAATACGCATTAACTTTGTCCTGATGGCATTGATCTTCAGGCCTACCTTCGCACCTTGTATCTCTAAGGCTCGTGTCTTCTGCCTCATATCCTGTATTCTGTGCGACAGTAAGGTCAGATCATCGGCAAAGTCAAGGTCATCTGTGCATGTGATAAAGGTCCACTGAATACCTCTCATCCTGTCGAAGGCTTTCCTCGTCACCAAATCCAGGCCGACTAGAAACAGCAGGGGAGATATCAGGCAGCCTTTTCTCACCCCGTCCTCGTATTCAGTGATTGGATCCTCTGTCCATTGTGTACCACCTGTGCGGAAAAACCTTCATAGAGAGCTCTGATGATGGTGACCACCTTGGCAGGCATTCCGTTGTGCCGCAACAACCTCCACAAAACCTCTCTGCTGATACTATTGAAGGCCTTTTCGAAATCCATAATTTTGATATACAAGGAGGACTGCCACTTAACCTTGTTCGATCAGCCTCCATTCGTCATCCACTAGCATCTCCTCCTTCCCCATCAACTGCTGTAGACCCTCAGATCTGTTGTGCAGCGCTAGCTTAAATGCGTTCCCAACCTCCAAGTCTTTCAGCTTGCTGACCTCAAAACGCACCCGGCCACTTTCCGCTTTCCTCACTTTGGAAATCTTTAGCCTGACTTTTGCCATCAACAAATGGTGGTCTGACCCAACGTCTTCCCCACGCAGCACGTGAACGTCCTGCAGTGAACTCCTCCATCTCCTGCTAAATGCCAGCTGGTCGATCTGATTCACAATAACACCATCAGGAGATCTCCATGTCCGCTTGTGACAATCCTTATGGGGGAACAGCGTTCCACCGATTACCAGCTCGTTTGCCTGACAGAAGTTCGCCCACCTCTCACCATTTTCATTCATCACGGCTCTTGCCCCATGGTTACCCATCACCTCTTCTCTGCCTGTGTTGTCCATCCCCACCTTAGCATTCATATCTCCCCTGACAATCTTTCCATCTCTACACGGCACCTCCTCCAAAACCATCCGTAAATATCGTCCTTCGCCTCCTCTTTTGCCTCATTTGTTGGGGAATAACATTGCAAGATGGTGACCTGTCGCCACCTCGAGTTGAACCTGGCTCTGATTATCCTCTCAGGTACCGGTTCCCTTTCCAGCAGGCATTGTGCAGCTTCTTTAGACAGAATGAAGCAAACTCCTCTTTCATGATTTTCACCTTCATCCATTCCTGAGTACAGCACAGTTTCTCCTCCAGCTATCCTCAACCTCCCACAAGTGTTCCATCTCATTCCACTCACTCCCAGAATACTAATACCATATCTCTGCATCTCTTTGAGCATCTGAGCACACTTACCGGCCTCTAAAAGTGTCCTTCTATTCCATTTCCCGATCTTCACACACGCTCGTGGCGACAGCAATTTCATCAACGATTTATGCGTCATTCTTTGCTTCGCACGGTGCTCCAACCGGGTGTTAGCATCTTGTACCCCTGCTTCCCGATAGGGCGCAGTGATAATTCTAGTTTCGGTTTCTGTAATGTTTCTTTTTCCGGGAGCGGATTATTGGCCCGCCGCCCAAACCCAACCTAGAGGACCAGGGGCTCTTCTTCGTCTGGTCTCTACCCTTCGACCAATCCGGTATGGTTCGACCTGCCAGGGATCACAGTCCCCGCCGGCACAGCTCTCTAGGTCCTTGAGACACAAAAGCTCCACCACCACGACAAGGTGTCAGCCCAAGGGTTAAAAATTATTGTTTTTTTATACTAATCATAAGTTTAACGTTTGGTGCAGGAGTGAATACAAATTTATAAATAACAGGCAGTTTATGTAGGTGATTAAGTACTCCTGGCGGGGGCCTTCTTGACATGTGCATCCAAGGCCTCTTTAAACAGCCCGTATCCTTCCGATTTCTTGAGTTCTTTCAGAATGATTCTTTCCTTCACTTTACTTGACTGTGATTTCTAATGAGCGTAACAAAAAATAAAGACTAGTACTTTTTTTAAGAACGTTAATGAACAGAAGTTACTTTGTCTCTTGTTAAAATTTTTACCACTGATGACTGCACAGAAATGTTTTAGTGAGTTATGATCAGATGGATTGAGATGGCAAATATAAGAGTGATTGAAAAGCCAACCCAATTAATTTAAGGACACCTTGAGGCTCTTCTGCGAACGGAGGAATCCCCTTTCTAAAAATCTCCCTACATGACAGCTCGCATCCGCAATTCATAGAAAATGAAATAGAGGATGACTAATGAAGAATAATGAAATATACAAGGGCCTAAAATATGACTCATTGATGAGAATGGCTCGAAATTTCTGAAACGACACCTTCATGGCACCTAGCTTGACTCACAGGATAATGTGTGTAGCTTGTACCGGTTGGTTCATATATGCACAGCGGTGAAAATGAAGATATATCATCTCGTCTGGAACATGTGATGTATCACAGCTTTAAACCCACCTTAGAAGACGAATTCGCAGTACATTCGATTTTTCTCTCGCTCCGTTTCCCGTACATTTTCTCCAGTTCTACCTAGAATCGTAGAAGTGATGAACAAAAGTTAATTATTTGACATCCATAAATTTTAAAGCGAGCATGCTTCCGAGATCGAGATCTTCCAACAGTCCAACATTGAAAGAGTGGGTGCACGCAAACTTACGCTATCTTGGTGGAAAAAACACAACTGCTTAGGGCTTTTAGGACGAGTTTTTGCAAATATGGCGTACAAGACACCGATAAACAAGCAGTTATTTAGTGTTTCAAATTAGAAATATGTTTCATTACGACCTTTTATATCGAAGAAGAGGAGAGTAGATGTGTCCTTAAGCAATTTTATGAGACATGAAATTTAGTAAAAGCATAACACCTTTAAGATTGTACGCCTCTAATTTTACAAATAGCTGAAATTTGATAGCGAAAAGATTTTTGTGACGGCAAGGCCATTTTAAAAATCAACCACTTTCAAAGTTGTTAAAATAGGGGTTCCGTACAACTTGCGCCTGGAGCCCATGTTAGAAAAAAAAATTTCCTGGGGTGAAGTCACGGCTCATTTAATATATCAAATCGGGAAAAGTTTTCATTCGAACCTATGGTAAGACCTTGCGTGGTCTAGTTTAATGAATTCTCAGGGTCTACCAAATATAGCAATAATCAAAACAATTGCACATCTGGTGAATCAACAGTATTTCCAGAATTACTTTTTACGACAAAAGGTGTAACGAAGGTGCGACAAACTCTCTTTTAAAGAAAGTTAGTTAGAAAGGAGCTTAGAGATCCCAGCCCGCCAAGATGCTTCAGATAAAATTAAGGGAGATGTGACGTATCGTGTAGCAGTTTTAAGGGACGTAAAATTTTAACAAAAGCATGCAAACTTTAAGATTTTATGCTTCTGAGTTCATAGATTTTTTTCGACGGCTTAATCAGTTGATTAAATATGCATAAACGCGAACAGTCATCTCAACTTGCAACTCATAGCAGGCTCTCTGTTGCCGGTAAAATAATTTAAAATATTGACAACCAAGATCACTGATATATTTCGGAACAGTCTGAATCGGAATATCTATTTAAAAAGCCACTCCTAGCAGGCAAGCTTTTCTCCTGTCATATTTTTTTTCATAAACTTTTCAATATGCATCGCATGAATAAAATTCTGAACTTTTTGATCGTGAAAATTATGTTCGGTTTAGCCTACCTTCATTTCAGTCGACCTTTAATGAACGTGACGTGTTTCCAAAATAATAATTACAAAAGTGAATTCTTTCTCTTATTTTTGTTATAATTAAGAGGGGATCTTAAAGCTTTTGTCTTTTCTTCCCAGGGAAACAAGGCAACAAGTAAAATATTAATACATACAAAACTCTGATATGAATGTGTTAGCTCTACCAATTTTTAAAACCTATACTTATTCTTAAATTTTACCTGAGTAGGGAATCGAGATTGAAGCAGTGAACGGGAAGGATATTGTTGCATGTTACAAGCCTTATCAATTTCTCCTTCGCCTTCGTCTTTTTCCTTTTCCAGGAGTCTTTTCTTCTTCTGCAATTTCGTAAAATGTATATGAGTAGTTAAAGCTAAGAGACAACAGAATGAGATAAATTGCACTTGGAAAACAAGCTGAACTTGTAGACTCAGTCTCATAACGACTAAAAAAGTTCACATATAGTACAATTGCATGTTCTCTGTTCAAAAGATTTCATGTTGACAACATTTGATAAGAGAAACATTTAGGTCACTTCATTTCTCTCATGAAATTTCAACGTTATTCTAAAAATTAGAATAGAAAAAAAAACCTAGCCTACCAATGGTTGTCCCTTGAAGACATCGTTGGCGGCATCATTATGAACAGACTGGAAAATTTTGACTGACTTGACCCTGTCTTGTTTGGGACCGTCATTTAGAATAGCTGGAAAGGGATCATTGCATTGCACGTCCATGACAGCGCCTCTGTTTTAAAAGTTTCGAAAACAAGTTTTGAAAGGGTTTTCCAGAATGTTTCCAGTCGTTCCCTATGACATTAAACAGTATGAAATATTCATTGCTCTTAGCACCGCGTTAGCCAATCATTTGGCAGGGCAAAATTTTAGATAGTTTCGAATTGCTTTGATGGTTCAATGGGAGTATCGTTTTAACAATCATATTGATAACATTTATGTGATGATTTCTTTGTGGTGGTTGATGAGATGATGCGACGATCATAGCAGAAGGTGAAAAATTCAAAGACAGGGATTTTTCTGGGGCCTACGACGTCCTCTTGTTGCCTCTTGTTTCTGATGCTAATCAATGCTCGACTTTATTGTGTCCAACTTTATAGACATATCTAAAGTTAGGGGTTCTTCATAGATGAAATGTGGAAATCTCTTAATGTGTCAGGAACAGATGGGGGTAAACACCTGTCATTTTAAAGCGTCTTTCACCTTTGAAGATTAAAGTTTTAGGACAACTTAACCACTGTCGATCCCTCCAGCATGGAGATTGAGTACTTCAGAAATATTACCGACCGAATGAAAATCTTGAAAAACTCGATAGAGAGGGATGTCAATGAACTGGTTGAAGCGGTTCTTAAACCGCTGGCTATTTTCTACGGCTTAAACGGTAACAGAGATCCCCCATTGCCTCAGGAACTAGAGAGGAAAATAAGAGGATTTTTCACAGACGTCTACTGGACTTTGAGACTCCACTTGTTCTTGCACCTTGAAAATCCTCTCGACATTAGCAGAATCCTTGAAGTGGGCGAATGGGGCGGCCTGAGTACCAATGACATGAGGGATATGGGTGACCAACACTTTAACCATTTTACAGACCCTGGAAGCAACCTCTTGGAACTGGTGAGTGGATTGAGATTTCACATGCTTTGCTTTTACTAACTATCTCATCTCGCTAATCACTGCTGAGGGCCATGGAAGGAGCTAGATTACAAACTGAAAAGAGATCAATTTGATTTCAGTAGAGCTTTTTTTTTGTCCTTGTCAGAACTATTTAAGTACTCTGAAACGGTATCTAGCTTGGAAAGGGTACTGCTTTCTGGCTGGCGCGCGTTCGATCTTCCAAATTAACGGGGCATTTTAGTAAAAGAGCCTTCCAAAACCAATGAAGGAATTTCAGACTAAGCATTTTAGATTTATTATGGCCCGTTTGGCGAGAGCGAGGTTTGTTCTGGCTCGGTCAAATCAAAAGGGTGAAGGAGCGACCATGTAATGTCTTGAGACCATTTAGTTTACATCCTGATGTTGAGTTTTTAATTCTACGAATTTTTGCATATTTTCTATATTTCAGCTCAGTTACCACCTGGAAAGTACCACCCAAAGAGGGAGCAAAAAGCATGCCACAGATGTATTAGCATTAGCAAAATTATTCCTAGGCCATCTTCAAGCCGAAAACATCTTCCTACCAGACGTTTTGGTCATGGTTGAACACGTGCCTACGGAGAAGTTTTTCGTAGGTGCATCAATAGCAGTAAGTGACTTTGTAAGGCCTATCAGTTTGTACAATCGAATCACTAATCTTAAAGGAAGCCTCGTAGCTGCAGTAATGCAGTTCCCTTATTCATGTCCTCCCTCTAAGCTAGATCTACGTAATTGGAGATTTTCATATGCCCGTAAAAGTCAAACCAGCGCGACAAGATATGATTCTTTGACTAGTGAGCTACCTTGCCAAAATTGTAGAACGTTGTTGACAAATGAGTTTTAGGGAAAGGGAGGGCCCACAGTTCTTGGTGCATGTGCAGAGTATTGTGCTGTAAATGAGCTTCTACCAGAGGAACAAATTTTTAGGCAGAGTCAGTATTTTCTCTCTAATGCACAACTAGAGAGAAACTATAAGCGATGCGATACTCTTCTCAAAAGCTTTAGAGATATGTCGGAAATGTGCATAACTGCCTTGGAAACTGGAGACAGGGATGAAATGGAGAGAGTGTACTGGAATGTGATAAACTTTATTCACATTTTTGGCCTAAGGCCAGAGTGTAATCGTTACTTCTGATTTTCTTTCGGTTTTCCTGGTTGTCAGGAATTAGCAGGGATGTAGGACCCGTCAAAAAAAATTCAACCTCTACTTTCCAGTAATTTGGGGAATCTATGGTAGACTAGAAGCCAAGTTAACTAGGTAAATGCTAAAAACGAAAAAGAGCATTAAATTTCTCAAAACGTTCTCACCTAAGACAGTCGCTTTTTAGAATCGTTTAGAATTACTTTGGTTTAACAATATCTCACAATCAAAGACATTCCTTAAAACTCAGGATTTAGCTTTGTCTTTCGTTTAAATGACAAGACTTTCTCGTTTGTAACTATAAAGATGTGAGTAGGATGAAATAGAAGCATACAGGCCCTCATGTTAGTCTCCTCTGGAACTGCATTCTGAGGCGTCATGCAGCACTTCCCCAAAAAGAAAGAGGGGATGTTGCGTGACATCTGAAAGCACGATGGTGGAGGGAACTACCTCTTGCAAGCAACGAAACACACGCAGAGAGGAGGGGGATGAACCAGTGAGCAGTATGACTCACCCATCCTACTATGCTTAAGGGCTCCTTCTGACACAAGTCCAGTTAGAAACTCTTAAAGTTCGTGCATTTGCTTCTAAATTATAATAATAAGATGTACTTGTCAATTAAAAAATAAACTGAGTCAGAATAATCCATATATGCTATTACAATTGTTAATCAGCTTAGACTGAATCTCGTTATAATAATGTATTCAAATCAGTGGCAAATCAATAAAAACGCAATACAAAAGATTCTTACATAACTTGTTTGAGTAACATGGTATTCAATGAGATATTTAGGGTAAGGCCACACTTTCTTGACCACAATAACCTTTGTCATTTAGAACAATTGAAAACGGATTATTACCTTGCACGTCTATGACAGACGCGCTGTTTTAAAAGTTTCGGAAACAAGTTTTAAAAGAGTTTGCCAAAGTGGTTGTACTAGTTCCCTGGGTACTGATGATACATCATGAAATATTAATTGCTCGTAGCACTGACTAAGTTAACCAATTACTTGGCAGGGCGAAAAAAATAACGTAGCTTTGCTTTGCTTTGGTGGTTCATTGGGGGGATCGTTTTCATGACCGCATGAGAAACATTTATATGATTAGTTTTCTGAGATTGATGATGAGATGAGGCGTCGATCATAACTTAGAGTAAAAACATGAATAAATAAAAGGGATCTTTCAGAGGCCCACGAGTTTCTCATATAGATCAATTGCACCAATTTATTGTGTCTTGCTTCAGAGGCATTCCTAAAGATGTCAGGTTTTGATTTATGAAAGACTGAATGGTTCATGGCTCTTTTTGATTGCTACTCTGGTTATTTAGAGGTGCAAAATATGAGCAGCACTACAAGTACTCGCGTAATTACAGTTTTAGGTCATAGTTTTGGATGCATAGTATACCTTACAATGGGCTTCTATTTGATAGCCCATACAGAAACTACTTGAATAGTGTGACATGTTGGCTGAAAGAATAAATGCCTCACTAGCAAAATTATTGTATGGGAGACGAACACGCACAGGCGCTAAGACCCTGTTAGAGTCGCGTGTGATTAGTATGGTGCCAGATAAGATTAAGAAGAAAAAGTAAAGGCAGAAGCACTGTTTTAACCGGCACACTCAGGAAATTCCAAAAGTGAATACCCACCAGCCCCAATGACAGGTCAGAAAACGCGTGCACTGTAAGTACCTCCCGTTGTCCCATACAAAGCCTTAGAAAACTTTTTTAAGGCATTTTTTGGGACAACGGGAGGTACTTACAGTGCACGCATTTTCCTTCCGGTCATACACTGCCTTGAGCCGACTGGGCCTGATGAGACGAATAACCCAAACCTAACCGAGTCTCCACTACTGACGGTCACACCCTCAGCAGACCAGTAGTAAGCCTAGTAATTCCATGCGCGAACGTCACGGTCGTCCACCTTTGTCAACACAAGATTCTGTTTACTGACTTTTGAAACAGACTTTGTTTTTTATTCATATGCACTGTAGCAGTTCGCTTTACAGAAGGGTTTACTTCAAAAACCGGACAACTACAACGGAACTATTTGACAAAATCGCTTTCTTGAATTACTTTCAGTTATCAATGAATTTGAATATATGAAATCATGTATGTGTATTGGGGTTTCATGAAATGTATGCCGAAAGCGATCCTCGCAGTAATGAACCCTACTTATGTAGTAGAGAAAATAAGGCCTGAAAAAAATTCAGGCCCGTACGGAACTTGAACCTATGATGTAAATACGAATCAACAAAATGACCAGCTCCCAGTTAGCTTGTTAGTTTAGTTGGTAGTCATAAACAAAGCATCGTTGCATTGTTTCCGCCTTGGCAGTTAAGCAAAAGACCAGCTTTGTGGCAACAGTATAATTAAAAGAAGTGACGAACTTGCCTCTCTATGGTTTCTCCTGTATGTTAAGGATAGCATAAAATTCTATAAATCCAGTGGTATATAAAACATATACCAAAAAAGTCAAATGTCCATTTTACATTTCTCACTCGGAAAAAGGATTGTAACGATAAAAATGTGCAAGCTATTTTATAAGTGTTTTACTCTATGTACCAAGGATTAAAAAAATACTTTTTTTCTTTTCTAATCTTTAGTTTAACGTTTGGTGCAGAAGTGAATAAAAATTTTTCAATAACAGGCAGTCTATATTAGATTATGTACTCCCAGCGGAGGTCTTCTTGACATGTGCATCCAAGGCTTCGTTGAACAGCCTGTAGCTTTCGAGTTTCTTAGGTTCTTCCCGAATGATTTTTTCCTTTACTTTACTTGACTGTGATTTCTAATGAGCGTAACGAAAAATAAAGAATATTACTTTTGTTAAGAACGCTAATAAAGAGAAGATACTTTTTCTCTTGTTAAGGTTTTTACCACTGATGACTGCACAGAAATGTTTTTGTGAGCCATGATCAGATGGATTGAGATGGCAAATATTGGAGTGAGAGATCCTAGCCCACCAAGGTGCTTCAGAAAAAACTAGGGGGAATGTGACGTATAGTGTAGCAGTTTTATGGGACATAAAATTTTAACAAAAGCCACGCAAATTTTAAGACTTTTATGCTTCTGAGTTCACAGATTATCGAAACGAGATGGCAAAAGATTTTTTCGACGGCTTAATCAATTAAATATGCATAAACCCGAACTGTTATCTCAACTTGCAACTCATAGCAGGCTATCTATTGCTGTTAAAATATTTTAAAATATTGACAACTACGATCATAGATATATTTCGGAACAGCCTGAATAAGAATGTCCATTTAAAAAGCCAGTCTTAGCTTGCAAGCTTTTCTTCTGTCACATAATTTTTTTCATAAACTTTACAATATGCATTTGCATAAATAAAATTCTGAACTTTGTGATTGTGATCGATTTAGCGTACCTTCGTTTCAATCGACAGGTGTACCTTTAATTTCCAAAATTAAAGTGAAGACTAATTATAATAGCAAAAGTGAATTGTGTCTCTTCTCTTTATCGTAAGAGGGGCTCTAAAAGCTTTTCTTTTCCGCCCAAGGAAACATGGCAACAAGTAAAATATTAATACACACGAAAATATATGAATGTGTTGGCTAGACCTCTTCCGATTTTTAAAACCTATATCTATATATGGAATCGAAATTGAAGCAGTGAACGGGAAGGATGTTGTTGTATGTCACAAGCCTTATCACTTCTATTGCATTGCACGTCCATGACCGCGCCTGTTTTAAAAGTTTCTAAAACAAGTTTTGAAAGGGTTTGCCAGAATGTTTCCAATCGTTCCCTATGACCATATACATTATGAAATATTCATTGCTCTTAACACTGCGTTAACCAATCAATTTGCGGGGTAAAAAACTTACATAACTTCGCATTGCTTTGATGGTTCAATAGGGGGTATCGTTTTAAAAATCATATTGAAAACACTTATGATTATTTCTTTTGTCAATGAATTTGAATAGATGAAAATCATATATGCGTACATTTCATGAAATGTATGAAAGCCATCCTCGCAGTAATGAACCCTACTTATGTAGTGGTAGATATAAGGCCTGAAAATAAATCGGGATTTGAATCCATGACCTCTGCGATACCGGTGCAGTGCTCTAACAACTGAGCTAACAAGCCAACTGGGAGCTAGTCATTATGTTGGTTCGTACGAAGCTGTCTCCGACCCAAAAACATCTTCCTAACAGAGGTTTTAGCGATGGTTGAATATTCGAGGAAATTTTTCGTAGGTGCATCAATAGCAGTACGTGACTACTAGGCCCATCTGTTTGTAAAATCGAATCACCAATCTTAAATTGAGCCTTGTAACTGCAGTAATAACTTTCTGTCCTGAATAATCCAAATCAACACGATTGGAAATTTTCATACGCCTGTAAAAGTTAAAATGACGCAAGATGTAGTTTCTTGACTAGTGAGCTTCCTTGTCAAAATTGTAGAACGTTGTTAATAGATCAAACGGGAAGGGAAGGGTGCTGTAAACGAGCTTCCATCAATTGAACAAGTTTATAAGGAGAGTGCGTGGCCCAAAAATCTAAAAATGGAGGAAAACCGTGTGCGATCCATCGCTCTTGTTTGGAAGCAATAGAAATTTGTCGAAAGTTTGCATATCTACCTTGGAAACCGGAGACATAAAAGAAATAGAGAGGACGTACTGGTAAATAATAAACGTTATGCACATCTTTGGCCTAAGGCCACAGTGTTATTGTCACTTTTGATTTTTTTTTCCGGTTTTCCTGGTTGTCAGGAATTAACAAAGGTATTAGACCCGTCAAAAAAAGTTTTGGCTCCTATTTTCCAGGAATATGGGGAATCTCTAATAAACTAGAAGCTAACTTCCGTTCTTTAAACTTTGAATCATATTTGCTTGGTTAAAATGACACTGATTTAAGTTGATGTTTTGGAAGAAATCGTTACGTAAGGTGAAGTTATTTTGTATGTTATTACAGAACATTTACCATTACATTTAAAAACGTACGTTTATTGACTTTATTGTCTTCTGTAAACCTGGGATTACCATAAAGTTTTCCACTTTCGATCTACAGTAGCTTCACTTCGTTGTAATTACTTTTAAGTATTAAAATACACTGCTTGTGTGATTTCCCCTCCACCTACTTTGTGACTGTTGTAGCTGTATTTCCTGTGATTAATCCTTGGATGAAGGGTATTGAACTGCGTTACCTCCCAATCGCAAGATAATAAGTTTAATAAAATGATGATTGTTGGAGAAAAAAATTGGTGTTAAGTTTCGATGATGGATCTTTTACACTTACAGAAATGTTCCTATATCTATTGGCTCAGTAAGTCAAAAGAAATATTCTTACTTTGCAATTTGTTCCAGAGGAAACGAACATAAAGCAATATCAATCTTTCTCGCTCTTTTGTATTCGTTGTTATCCACGTTAGACAAATAAATGCTCAAATAAAAAGGACAATAAATTTCTTAAAAAGTTCTCGGCTAAGACAGTTGCTGTTTAGAATTTCTTTGGTGTAACAATATCTCACAATCAAATGCACTCAATAAAACTCAGGATTTAGCTCTATCTCTCTCTATTAAAGACAAACTTTTCTCATTTCTGACGATAAATATGCAAGGGGCCGACCGTTTAACTCTTGAGGGGGGGTGGGTGATTTTGAAAAAAATTCATGCAAGCGCTTGTTGGAAGAAAAAAATTGCATGCAGCGTAAATGTAACAGAAAGAAAGAGCATTTAAAACGAAAAAAATTATCCTGCCCAGCAGATTGATAGAAAAAAAATTTCTTCATGACCAGAAATCACCCACCCCCTCCCCCTCAAAAGTTAAATGGTCAGCCCCTAAGTGGGATGAAAAAGAAGCATGCAGGCCCTCAGGTTAGTCGGCTCTGCAACCGTCTTCTGGGGTGTCAGGCTGCACTCCCCCAAAAAGAAAGAGGGGATGTTGCGTGACATCTGAAAGAATGATGGTGAAGGGGACTACCTCTTACAAGTAATGAAGCCCATGCAGAGAGGAGGGCGACGAGCCAGTGAGCAGTGTGGCTCACACCCATCACTGCCATTGCTGAGGGCTTCTTCTAACATGAGTCTAGTGAGAAACTCTTAAAATTAATGTATTTGCTTCTAAATTATCATAATAAGATGTACTTGTCAATTAAAATATTAACTGAGTCATAAGGGTCAATACCGTGTATAGGCTATTATAATTGTTAATCTGCTTGAACTGAATCTCATCATAATTACAAAAAACACAAATACAAAAGATTCTAAAAGAACTTGTTTGAATATTAAGATCATAGCATTGAATGAGACATTTAGGGTAATGCCACACTTTCATTAGCACAATAATGCTGACAATAACACTCTTAAATAACCCCAAGCAATTTTGCAAAGCTGTTGCTTTGGAAACCAACAGGTACCCCAAAAATCTAAAGACCCCCAAACTCACAATTCTATTTTCAGACTTTACATCCTAAATGCTAAACAGCTTGCCCACTTCTTAAAAGTTGTTCCACTCTTCACCATCTAAATGGAAAGAATGACAGTGATGATAATGATGATGCAAAGAACTTGAAATAATATTTGTGATGTTTAAAACTGTATATCTTAACTCAGTAAATAAGGGGTTGTTCTTAATGCCTTTTACTCAATTTCACCTATGTTAGAAAATACCTTCCAGATATAGGAATACTGAAATTTTGATCCACAGATTCATCCCATCAAGGTTTGACAAAATGTAACCTTCACTGATCCTATGTCCCAAAGTATGTTACTGGGAAGCTCTATATTGAAAGCACAGCTGCTTGTGTAATGACTGTCTCTACTCTCAAATTTGAGCAACCAAAGCATCTTTTCAGTAAGCTCCACTCTTGACCTAATGCTGAATGCATCCAATTCAGATTCTGATCACTGACCTTCAAAGCCAAACAAGGCCAATCCCCAAGTTCAAAAAAACATTGGAAAATGCAAGACAAGTACCTGAAAATGTTCACGTCAGGGCGTCATGTTGAATTTTCAAAAAAACTTGCAAAAAGAAAAAATGGAAGCCAGGCCCTTATACATCAAATGAGAAACCATCAAGTAAAGGATTTCTGATTAAGGTATGTGTCTTTCCCTACATAACAGAAAAATAGACATCCATCCATACATCAATCCATGCCCAACAGTTCAAAATTCAGTGACTTACACGACAAAAATACAAATACCAAATTTATATTGGTTCTCCCCTGAGTTGGTTGATGGCATCAGCAAGCATTCTGTTACACATGGCAGCATATGGATTCATCTGTACTACCACGGACCTTGCAAATGCATTGCCAAGCTCTGCAGCCTTTGTAAAGTCCTTGAGAGCTTTGTCTTCATTACCATTTAGGCTATGAATTAATGCTCGCTGTGTGTGTGCCTGAGCAGCAGCAGCACCTCTGTCTTTGCCTAGTTGGATAGCTTTGTCTAAATCTTCCAGAGCACTGGGTATATCTCCTAAAGTCAAAAATCAATTGCAGAATTAGATTCAGTTTTGTTGCAGAAAACATCAAACCCCACCCAATACTCTCCATCTTCCACAGACAAGATCTCACATAAAATGTATCTCATGCAAGGGTATGGTTAATGGGGTCTTGAACTTATTTAAGGCCATTATTGATTGCGCTAACACAATTTTTGGCAAAATTTGGAACAGCAAGCATAAGTTTAACTCTTTATCATTTCCATCTAGCACATAATCAGCATATCTTAGGTTTCTTTGAAGACAACAATTCTATGCAGAGTCCTGACTTGTTAGGTTGCTTACATTTATGCCTTCTAAGTTTCCTTCCAACTTCAGTCTACTTGCAATGTCTTGGGGTATGAAAGTTACCATAATGCTGAGTTGTTTGTTATCAAAAGGACTAAGCACACCAGAAGTAAAGATGCCTTAGTCCCCTTTCCTGCTTTCATAGTAACCAAATGGCATTGATGCTAACATGATGCTGGTATTAACCATACATCTTTAGATATTAAGTCAAACCTTTAATTCCAGTCTGGAATTAAGTACACTACTTAATTGTGTTATAAAGGAGCAAGAATGTAACTGGATATAAAGAAGATATGATCATATTTTTTTGACAATAACTTTACATTTTCGACTGGTTTTGTGTTTCGTTTTTGAAAAGCACACTTTGAGAAAAAATAATGTAATTTTCAAAACTAGCAAAATTTTAAACATCATTTGGAAAAGATTCAAGCAATACTGGTAGCATAATATGCTTCTTTAACTTGATTAATCTATGAGGGCCCACCTTGCACCACCTGAACAACCTCCTCTGTCATATAAAATTATTATTTTTAAGTCTGCTCAATGACATAGAGCAGTAAAAATGTTACACTTCAGGTGTGAAAAACATCGAAATCCAAAAAAGGAGCTGTTCTGGTGTTAGATACTCCATTTGTTAGTCCTTCTTAGTGCACTAATACAAGCCTACTTACACACAAGTTGGAGCCGCCATATCTGCCATTTCACATAAGGTAAATTGGAAAAAAGTTGAAAATTATAAAAAGCATCCTGTTTTCATCTTAGAGTAAAAGTAACTTCAGAAAGAGACTGCCTGAGCTTTCCATATAAGTGACCAGGACTTATTCCAGTTCCTATAGAAAGAATGCCAAAGTAGAACGGGAGGGTATCATCCATTTTCGAGCCTATTTTCGACTAAATCCCTAAATATCTTGATCTTGAATCCAAGTCCCAGTGAACCAAATCTCAATTTTCTAGTGAAAAATTTGGCAACTTAGTTTCTAAGAGCCTTTTTTCTATAGCACATTCACCTGTATGTCATACCTTGTTCTTCCCCCTACAGCAAACTTATCTTACCAATCTACATGATAGCAACTTTCAGAAATACAATAATTTCGATTAGATGATACTCAATAGACTTTGAACAAATAAAAACTTTAATTACCTTTTAACCTCCACAGCTGAGCTCTATTGTTGAAACACGAAGACCGTAGAGGGCAAATTTGGCAAGCTTGGTTAAAACACTCCAATGCCCCATCCAAGTCGCCTTGTTCCGCTTTCTCAACACCAGATGCCTCCAGTTGTTTAGCTGACATGACATCCTCAGTATTTTCTTCATTTATTTCGTTTTCATTTTGAAGCTTTGCAGCAACATCGCCCAAGGGTAACAGAGGATTAAAAATGCTTTCCAACACTGCTTGATCCTTCATACTAATCGCCATTTTGTTTGCAAACTCTGATCGAAAGCAATCTGGGTACAACTATTACCTCATTTCGTGTCTCGCGTTGTTGCTGCGTGTTTCTTCCGCGCATTCTCCCGCGAGGTAGCTCCGCGTGGTGATGATTTATGTTCGTGTCACTTATTCAAAATAAATTTATAGAAAATAGTGGCATTTTCAGACTGTTAGTTACAGTTAGTCATATTTCCTTCTTTTGCTTTCCAAATACTCTTATTTTCTCAAGTTGTCGTCGTCAACTTGAGACGGAAGGGGAGACTGGGGTCTAAAGCATCATTCTCGTGACTGGCCTTAAAAAATCTACTAGATTTCAGATTGAGCCGTTTAATCTTGGGGAGATTTTGGAAGATTCGCCATGGAGGGAAGTATTAGAGTCAGCTTACCGCCTGTATCACTGAAGGTCAGTTTATTTACTTTTGGCAGGTTCGTTTTCAAGCTTCCTTCCAGCTATGATAGGACACTATTGGTAGATCGACTAGTGGGACTGATTGTGCATATGTCAGTAGTTTTGAAATGATTGATGGATTTCTTTTAACGTTTCTAGATTGTGGTGTCAGTTCATTTTATTCTAACGATATGGTAAGTATCTAAAACCAGATGTTCTAAAGGCGTGTTAGAATGACATGAAGCTGAAATGAATTCTAGTTTACTATTGAAAATGAAATAAACTAGCTAGGAGAACTATACTTGGGGGGCAAAAGAGAACTCGACCAGCATTGTGATAAACTGAATAGGATAGACTCTTCATTATCTCCAGTGAATTAATTTTGCGTGGATTTTAAAGGTTGCAGAGGCAAAAAAGCTAGTGGTCATGATATAATCCTGTGGGGGCATGGGAGGGGAGTGGTCAAATAGCCAGAGTGGAGTGATTTGGAGCAGCTGTACTCAGAATTGATAAGCTTCCTTGTCAGCCATTCCTGACCTGCCTTCCTCATCATAAGGACTTAAGTTATACATATTGGGTGTCAAATACTAAACCGAGTATTTTGCATCATAAAGAACCGGCCACTGTAGAAGGTGGTATAGAGTTTAGAGATGAGGCCTTAATTAACTTGTGATGCATGAATTGTGCAAAAAGGCAAGGCAAGGTGAGATTTGAGGTTTTTACCTGTTTGAAGTACATGACTCCAATGGACATATTCACAAGCATTGTTATGACCATCATCAGTGATCGAAAGCTGCTTATTTCTGTTTTTCCCCTCTGTTTGAAGGGGTGATCAATATGGATGGTTACCAGCCTCTTATATATTCTGTAACTTAGCTGTTCTGGCCCTAGGAGTCTGGGCAATAGCATCAGCAAGTAATGAAGATGCCTCCCAATTGGTTTGTATACATAACATCTATTTATTAATTTAACCTAAGTTACTGAATCCTGACTCAGACTTGCATGATTTAAACTTAAAAACATAGGGTTTAGAAACAGAAGAAGCATTAAAACCATGTTGATGTTATTATTTGGGGTGAATTTTCACATCCTTTATAAAGGGGGTAAATTTTTAAAGAAACTGTAATGCTGCATCGGTGGGGAAGTACAGCAAGGTAATTTGGTTTTATCAACTAAGTTGATAATGTAATTAGCGACCATAAAGAAACTCTCTGCAGTGGCCAATTAACATTACCAACTCAGTTGATAAAGCCATATATTTTCTATGAACAGGTAGTTTAATAGGAAAGTACAACTTCTGGCTTAAGCATGGTTTCTGTGTAAAATAATATATTCCTCTTTAGACTATCTAAGCCTCTTTAAAATCATAGAGGCCTTTAGTAAAGAGTCACTCAGCTCAACAAAGAAGATTTAAAAAATTGTCAAAAAAAATATCAAAATGACACTTTAAAATCATAGAGTCCCACAGGAACACGCTGATCAATTTCGAAGCTTCAACATCACCTCCCTCAGGCAACCCTCCAGACATTTGAAGTTTTGAAGATTGGCTGGTTCAAATCTCTGCCCTCCCACCCCCTAAGCCAAAATTGCATTCAAATGCCCCACCCAATATTGAATGATTCTTTGTGTGATTAACAAATTCTGGAGTTGCTGTTGGGTTTTTCACTTGTAAACATCATTCTAGGATAAGAAAACTGTCTCTCTGAGCCATGCACTCACAGTAGCAGACTCTTTGCCTTTAAATTACTCCCTTAAACCCGTGTAAGACACTGGGAAGATGCTTCCAGTTCAAGTGCCTTAGTCCCTACCAGGGCAAGTTGGGTTGCCTGTGGGTTGCCTGAGGGGAAGTACGTTGAAGTTTCAAATTGATCAAACTATAACTCATTGAAGTGACTCAACAGAAGTATTGTTTCTTAACTTATCGCTAAACAAAAGATCAACAAAATTTTGTTATCTCTTGTAGTTTCTGTTGGGAATGCTTTTTACTATCATTCAGGACATCATAATTATAGCCATCTCTTATACCTCTGATAACACGGGTAAGTTTAATGAGAATGTGTTTTGTTGTAACATTTTATGAAGCTCTTAAAAATCTTCCTTTTATTCATTGTGATCTTACATGTAGATATATCCATTGACAGTACTAAGGAAAGTATGTTATTTCTTTTCAGTTTCACCCCAATTAGTATTAAAACTCCAATATGAATTAATTTTCTCGCCACAATTCACATATACAACGCATGTTGCAGGATTGTCTCAAAAAAGCTATTTAGATTTTTATAGTTAAGAAATTGATTTTTAATCAGCACATTGCTTGTTGCAAATAGCTTACTACTGTACTAATCCAGCTGATGCAGTAGTTTAAAGGCTGATAGTTTCGAAAGAAACTGTTTGGGGCTGCATCGGTGGGAGTAACGAAATAATTTGGATATATCAACAAAGTTGAAATGGTAAATTGGCCACCGTAACGATTACAAAAGCTGACGTTTCAGGCGTTAGCCCTTCGTCGGAGCGAATAGAGGAATTGTGGGTTGTGTGTGCTTTTAAAGGCAGAAAATGGAGCTACGTTATGCAGTAGTTTTTTTAGCTGGTTTACCTTTGGTTTCTACATTTAAGCTCTCGGTACCAACAGTTACCACCATCTACATGTAGATTCAATCATATTCTATTGCTTATTGACCCCTAAATTATGTGAAGAACTTGAAGAAGACTCTGAGTTTTTTCCATGTGTTCAAACATTATTCAATGCAACTATGCAATCTTAGTCTCTGACTGTGTGCAGAGAGATCTAGAAGGCTAGTCAAACTAAAATGTTTGCACATCAGAAACAGTTTGTCTTGTGATCCAAGTGGTAACTGTGGAATGGCAATATCAGATGTTCTCACAATGGCCCCATTACCATGACCATCAGTTGAAAAAAAAAGAAAACATACATGTGCAATTTTACCATCTTATTTACTAACAAATTTATTGATTATTAGGAAGTACTTTGTCAAAGAATTTCCTGACTAAACTGTTGTTTTTAGCTCTTTTTATTGTTTGCATTATAGAGAACCCTCTTTTAGATGTAAATGTTTATTGGACTATATATATTGAATCTATTTTTCAACTTTCAGCTTCCCATTACAGGTTTTGTGTGGGGTATCCTTTATGATTTAAAGGCCAAGAATTTGAAAAAGGTTTTTTTTAGGAAACTTGAGTCAACAAATGGCTTGAATGAGGTGCAATGACCAGTACACAAGGCAAAGTCAAACAAAAACTACAAACTTAAGAAATTGATTTGGAAGTAATTTAATTAACATTGTATTACTTCACAACATGCAAAAACCTTGCATACCATCTCTCCCAGCTTTTCTTAAATCTAGAGTCTCTTTTAAACATTAAAATATCCCATATATCATGATTGAATTTGGATATTTTTTTTCTTTGAACAAGGAAAATCAAGTGAGTTTTCTCACTTTAAGAAGACACATGTAATGTAGTCAAAGTGATCCCAAGTGAAGTTTCATACTGACAGTGTACTTCAGTCTATTCCATTTGGCATCTTTGAACATCTTAGCAGCAATGAAAGTCAAATTCAGCATTGTTGTTATCAATAAATTTTTTACATGAATGGGGCCAGCTTTTATTTTTTAGAAATTATAATCTTGATAACACTATGTCTTGTACATTATTAATAATAAATATCTTCAAAAGAGAATGAATGTTTTCAGTATAGGAATACTGCAAGGTTGTATGTATGCAAGATTGTTTCCATACAATACTTACAATCACATCATTTCCTTGACATCTATCCCATTACAGAATGGCTATCTTAAGTTTGATTTTGAAGGTAAGTTGTTGACTTTAACTATGGTCCTTTACAAAAGGCCTAAGTTTAAAAAATGATTCTTCCATCTCCCAGTTCATGTGGAGGAGTGTTTCAGAAATTAAAGCCCTCTAGAAGAAGAAACAACTTTGGCTATATGATAATCTGTCAGAGCAGACCTCTGAAATAATTGGTACTATTTTAAAACAAAATTTTCTAACTCTTCTTCAAATATGTTCTGTAACTCAAATGAAAAGTGGCAAGAATAATTCATTAGCTCTCAGTTGAAACTTCAGGTATGCAAATTTGTTCCTGCAGAACATAAAATCTCCAATCTGAAAAAATTAAAACTTCCATGACATTTGCAAGCTACTGGGTAACATAATGTTTATTAATTTTGGACTGTTTGATTTGATTTTTTCATTGTCTTTCTTTTGTTCTATAGCCCCTATCATGCTTGCTTATTTTTCAAAATCACCGCAATAGGGGTGGAGGAGAAGGTTACAGCTGGGCAGGTACATGTTTCGTTCAACATTTTAAGTATTGTTAGTGTTAATCACCTTAAGTTTGAACTTTGCTATTTGTACATGTGCAGTCACCTTACTTATGTCTTTCAATCAGTATTTATTAATAATTAATGCGTGAGGTTTCCTGGAGCAAGTGGCTAACATCCTCCACTCTTGTTATAATTCTAAGTTTGAGCAGCTGTTGGGAGGTGTTATGATTTGAGAGTCAGGAGAGGGATATTTAACAATTATTCCACGAGCGCGCGTTGGATATGAGATGATAGATAGCCAACGAGGCGCGTAGCGCCGATTTGGCTATAATCATCTCATATCCAACAAGCGCGAGTGGAATAATTGTTTTATTAAAAACGTTAAATTAAATAATTTTATTAAATTTTTAGCTCCCTTTTAATTTTAAGCTGACACATATGCTTACCATATTTGTAGATTATGGTATATTGGCTGATATACCATAATGGCTAAGCCAATAAAAATTCTTGAATTGCATTATCCAATGATCTAGTCTTTAATAAAGGCAGAATATTCCAGTGGAGGAGGGGGGATGCTTGTTATACTAGAATCTCATAGTTGCTGTTGAAGAAGAAGACGCTCCAGACACCAATGTAATATTTCTGTCTCTGTCATTAAGCCAGAGGGGAATTTTAGCATGTATCACAAAAATCAACTTCTAATGTGCTGAAAGTACTGTGATGCAAGAAGCTCCCTCCCTTCACAACTCCCCTGCCCCTCCACCCATGTTAAATTGTATGAGACCTCCAGTTGCAGAGAGATTGCAAACTGTTACTCAAGGTTTAACCCCACTTTTTAGAATCTATTGTTCAGGTAGAGACAACTAGGACGTTAAAGACTTAAGGCTGTGCTCTATGGAAAATTGAATGGAGCCTAATGCCCTAAAACTGTGAAATCCATGGTGCCCAGCATATGCTTAATTTGTATGAAAAAACTAAAATTCCTGAGTCACCCAAGAGCAAAAGTAAGGCGCTAAGTCCGCCAGGGTGCTGCTAGACCACAGCCTTGAAGACTTACACTCTGGGAGCTGCACACTGCATCATGACCTAGGCTATTAACCACTCATGTTTCATGCCTGCATGTGTACATCTGTTTTCACATTATTAGTGTAACAATAACTTTTATTTTATTTGATGAGTGACTAAGTGAATAAAATTTGCACTCCAGGTTCAAATTATGTGACCATAGAAGGCCAGTCAAGCTCACAGCCAGCTCCTGGACACCCTTGAGAGATTAAATATCAATATAATTGATGCTTTTAAATAACAAACATTAACTCTGACGTTATCAAAAATGTCAGTCAAGTAACTCATCTATTAAGTATCTTAAGTTTCCAAACTTTTCATGTAGTAAAACAACATGTTTTTTAAATGGTTCAAAGTTTTTATTTTCTCCTTTACTAATTTTCTAGAATTAATGTGTTAAATATAGTATTTGGAGCTCTCAAGTTAATTTGTTGCTAAAAGTTGAGATCTCGGATCTGACATCACTTTTCTGCTGTGGGTGGTAGGGTGGGGCATGCTCATGCCAGAAATTGAAGTAAACCCACCAACCCACCTAATGGTGGCTCTGCACAAGGATTTTCACTGTTGGAAAGTGTTCGGACCCATTACAAAGGAAATAAGTAGTAAGTTCTATCTAGAAACATAATTTAACTCTTTAACACCCTAACATTAATATTCATATTCTTAGCACTGTTCTTGATACACTTCCCAAGGCGCTGACAAGGAGAATTTGTCGAACAACCAAGGGCTTCTCTAGTTGGTGATCAGTTCTTTTATTCTTGTGACCTTAGTGCTTGATGCCAGGGTGATATTGTAAGGAGAAATTAGATGCTGGTCACTGTCAGGGGTGAAAGGGTTTAAGTTTAGAATCTCGAATCAACAATTTCATTGAGAAATAATAGTTTCAGCATAAGAGGGAAAGATTGAATTTGTTTTCATTTATTTCACAATTGACTTAGGAGACTAGAGAGCTCTGGGTTGTTGTTATGGAGATTGAGATATTTTTTAACTTCAGAACTTAATATGTTTTCAAAAAGCATGGTAATCAGCTTGATTATCTTTTATAAAGCAGTACTAAATAAATGTTAATTACAGTAAGTTATAGACCTCCACATGGAGCAGCATGTACCAATCTGATGCATGCATGATGTAGTACTTTTGTAAGCAAGTGCCATTCTTGATCATGTATAATGCAACAAACATGAAAAATTCCGAATTAATAATATTTTACAGTTTAAATTGGCTCTCAATAGCTGCTACTGTCAATGTTTCTTGACGGAAATTACTAAAATTAAGTATTGCTTGTCATTTTGTAATATGAACCATTTTTCTGAGTATGTGGGAGAAAATTTAGAGCACATCTGGGGAAAGAGTAGAAAAGGAGAATCAATTTTGGTATTATGAAGCATTTCATTTGGCATATACCATTTTCTCGGTTTTTTTCTCTTTTCAAGAAGTTTTAGAGATTAATATAATTAATTTACAAAATATTACCAATGTTACAATTCACTCCATGCATTGAATAATGCAGGCATTGAATTCAGTCAATTTTTGAAATAAATACACACTTGCCAGTCATCTCATATGAGCATGATTTCAATCCATATTGTTAGATTTTGACTACATGCTTCTATAATTATCTGAAATAAATAGAGCAGTTGAGTTGTCTTGATATTTTACTTGTCATGATGTGAATGTTGCTTAAATGAGGAAAGCTGTTAGGGGTACAGAGTAGTCCTTGCAATGTCAAAGGGAACAGGGATGGTGCAGTGGCGAGAGCACTCACCTCCCACCACTATGGCCCAGGTTCAATTCCCAGACTGACCTGGCATCACTTGTGGTTGAGTTTACTGTTGGTTCTCGTCCTTGCTCCAAAGGTTTTTCTCCAGGTCCTCCAGTTTTCCTCCCTCCATAAAAACCAACATTCCAAATTCCAATTTGATCAGGAGTCAAATGTTATGAGCCACCAGCTCAGAAGATTTGGTGACTACTTCCTGCATTATCAACTTTTGATAAATTATATATTTATTATTCTATATACAAGGCTAAAAGATTAGAAAAAAAATAAAATGTTTGAACCAAATGTTTATGGCTGTTTCCCATCATCAGGATGATGATGGCAAACAGCTGAAAACATTCTGTTCAAACATTTTAATTTTTTTCCTAATCTTTTAGCCTTGTATATAGAATATATTTACTTCACTAAGCGAACATTATGGACACCATTCTTTTTATTTTTTATTTGTTTTGTCAAAAACTTGTCCCACAAGCTGCTATACATGTGGATAACATTGAAGGTTGAAATATGCTCAAAAATTGACAAGACCTCGTTCTCTCAGCCAGATGTTTATTTGTTTCACAACCTCCACATCACTCAAAGCTATGATACGACACGCAGAGATGAATTTACACACTGCAGAACAAGGAAGGCAATTTAAATGTACTGTTTCCTAAATAAGCTGAATTTTCCTTCTCAATAAATTTGAACTGAGGTGGTGGCATATTCTCACTGAGTTTAATGGTGTGTTTTCTTTTACTCAGTTCTGACAAATATCTGATCAAGTGGCAGTTATCAGCAAGAGCTGTCCACTGAGTGTTATACCAATGGCGCAATTTATTTACTGTGATCAGGTTGAAATTATTGTGTAGATTTTAAATCCTGATGTTTTATCACATAAAAGATGATTTTCTTTTTTTTCAGTAAAGATTTGGTGTAATGGGGGCAGCAATGGACTCCTCATTTTAAGTAGCAGGCTGATGTGATAATGAGTTGGGTCATTAATTAACTGTGATAAAAACAAAAATCCTTGGCTAAATGTTTAAAAGGTAAAAAAATCAAGAAGCATTTAGTGGCCAGCAAATAGTGACAATACAAATCAACATGCCTGGTTGATTTGCATTGCATATTTGGGTTAACATTGTTGTCATCTTGGTTATTGGTTTTTTTAAGTGAAAACAGTGCAATTTGTACTTGCAAGTCAATCTCCAAGGTACCCCCCCCCCTTCCTTTCTAGGATTAGGATAGTTTTGTGTTCTGTGTAGCCCCTCCTTGGTTACCTAATTGTAGTAATGCTTCAATCAAGGAAAAAATTCAATTGACACTAATTTTGTGTTTACATTAAGATGTGATGACTATGTTGTCGATTTGTGTAAAGAATTGATTTATTAGTGGCTGAATATAAGGAATAAGTTTGAAAAACAGTTACATTGTGACACACTGAGTTGGTGACAACCACCTCATTGCATTAGTCACTTGCTTAAGGTGGATAAAAAAGAAAGGAAAGTTTCCATATTTTCATATTTCTTATATAATGCTCACTCAAAAGTCCTCACTTCATCATGCATCTACAGCAATGCTCCACAATATCCCTGCAGCACATACTATGAATTTTTTTTCAGTGACTGAATTTCAAATTGAGAAAGACTTCCTTCAATAGATGTCATAATTTCTCAGCAACAATAGGTTGCAATGCACCAAAAGTTCCAGTTAAGGAAACTATACACAAACAAGCCCCTTGCACAGACAAATTTTTCTTCTTAAACTTTTATCGCACAGATAGCAATCAAAATTTACATACAGAGCAAACAGAAAATTCAGATTCATAAGAAAAGAGAAATTAGGTAGTGTTCTCTGCAGCATTTTTCTTCATAATCCCTGCAAGGAGTTATTTCTGAGAAAATACCTCTAGGCTACCGGTAAGTGCTTGATTCAAATGGTTTCTTCATTCATCTCAAGTTACTGGGCATCCTCTAGCTTAGCTTTACGCTCTTCTTCCTTCCTTTCTGCTTTTCTTTTTTCCCTAAAAACTTTTAAGTGCCTACGTTTGAATAAGTCACGCTTCCTTCTTTTTCTGTACTTGTGCTTTTTCATCTTCTTACGACGTATCTTGAGAATGCCCTTAAATCTCTTGCATTGTAAAGTTTTGGTATCTTGTGTGTCATCACCAACTGTAAGTTCATGTGTGTCATGATCCCCGATGATTGTTCTGATGATCCTTGAACAATGTGGAAAAATCAACTCTTGGATTGTTTCCTTAGGAATCTCAGGCAATATTACATCATATCCAGGGTTTCCACCAGGGAAAACTCTGCCATCATTGGTTGTGTTAAGAATCAATAAATTTGGTCTCTGAAGCAATAACGGAACAGTAGAAAATAAAGGGAAACTTTTGGTGGAATGTGCCGCTTTGTTCAATTGTGCTGCTGTTCCAGTTCCCAAATCTGCAAATGTAAAGCAAAACAAGAAATGACAATTATGTTACAAAACGAACATAATATTGTTTAATGTCGCCAAAGCTCTTGGAATGTTAGATTTGTGACAATTTCGAAGAAAGCCCACAATTTGGTGACCAGGTTTCAACTTAAGTTTAAGTCCTTGAAACTGAGACAATTATAGCAATAAATTGTTGTGTAAAGCTGGTGCCAAGTACTAGATAATTAGAGTCATTAAATGTAATTGTTATTCACTGGATGAGCTGAATGCTTTATGAACTTTTTAACTATTACTATACATTAGCCTTACTACAAAAAATCTGATTGGTCAACTGCATTCAATCAATATACAAGTGTGTGAAGTTGACATGAAATTCCCAGTATCTGCAGTGGGTATTGCAGTTATCATGTTGAGTTTTAAGTCTGCCTAGTTTCCCAGCCATTCATCCAAGCAGTGTTCTCAAACTTTTCAAACTCAATGAAAAGAATCTTCTTTTGCAGATCGTTTACCAGATGTATAATAAAACAATTACTGTAATCAGTTTTTGTGTGATATCATAAATCATCAAACATCAAGTCTGAGTTATCTGCCTCAGCTTTCTGCTTTGCCAAATGACTCAGACTTCTGTTTTGATAATTCGTGAAATCATGGTCGACCTCATCCAATAATTGCTTAATATCACTGCCAATTGAGACCATACCAAATTGAATGGCAAAAACAGAAAAAAAAGCTCCAAACTCATGGTGATGCAAAAATCTAAAGTACACTATTCAATAAACATGAAAGGCATGAAAAGACAAAGGCAGAATCTGAACCAATCAAACAGCCAATCAAGATTCATCTGCTGATACGGAATGGCCATGGCTAACATAATTGAAAATGTGGCAATGAACTCAACTCAAATGTTGTTTTCACTCCACTCCAAACCTCTCTGTTAGCTCAGCTAAAAAAAATTCTTGTCTTAAATCTATTTTGTTTTACACTATTTTTTGAATATTAAGAGTTTTGGTGAGACAGGAAAAGATAGGAAGGATCAGCAACGCCTTGAATTGGAAACATTAGTTATCATTTACATGCCGATGACAAGTGTATGCAGAAAGCTACATATTAAGAGTAAGTCTACCTTCAAATCGGTTATGTAAGTTTACGGAGTAACTGCAGAATACCATGCCACTCATTTACATTTTTACATTGTGCATCTCACAACAAGATCTCTTTTGAAAAACAATGAACAACTTTGAACTTTTATTTATTTCACACTGTTAATGGAAGTTAATATTTATATGAAAAATAGGAGAGAGAGAAGAATAAAAGTAATATTTGGTCATAAAGATAAGTTTGAGAGGTGCACGGTGTCCAAAGTAGCAAAAGCTTTCTAGTTGGACATCATAATGGTCATATAAATAGATAGCAGCCTAAATAAAAGTAAATCAGCGGTAAAGTAAGTAAAATGATTAGGTTTAGTTGAACAAGGTTGAAGTTTCCATTTTTCCTTAAGAGTAGATCAGTAGCAAAGTAAAATGATCAGGTTTGGTTGAGCAAAAGTTGATGTTTCCATTCTTTTTTAAAGCTATTGTAAGGCATATATTTAAGATAAGTGGGTACGATTTCCCATATCTTTGAAGCAGAGAATAATTATAAAAGATGATTTTTGGTGGATACTCTTAGTCTAAAAAAATTATTATTAGAAGCAAATCTTGTATTATAATTATGTTTTTCAGATGCTGGGGTCAGGATATCAAGGAAGATATCTGGAATGCTATCACTTTTAATATTAATCTTATATGTAAGGCAGCATATTCTGAATTTATAAATAGCATCCAACTTTAGAATTCCTAATAGTTTTTAATAGGGATTGGCACTTTCTCTAACATTTGCAAAGAAGATGCTGCCAGGACATTTCTTCTGCTTAATACAGAGGCATTTTAAGTTAGTATTGGTGGCACAGCCCCAGGTAGTTATACCATAGCTTAAATAGGGATAGATCAAAGCATAGTATAATTTTTTTAACATATTAAATTTGACATGTCTCAATATTGTAAGAATTCCAGTGTTTCTTGCTATTTCACTGTTTATATGTTATATTTGCGGTTGCCAATTTAGGTGCTTATCGATATAGACTCCCAGGTATTTTATATAATTCTTTGATTCAATGTTTTCAATATTTATCCTGGGGTGGTATCTAGGAGATGAAATTAACATAACTAGTTTTTGCAAAATTAATAGACAACTTATTTAGTGCACAGTATTTATAGATTTAAGCTCATGATTCATAACAGATTCTAGATTATGTGGGTTGTCACAAGTAAAAAACAAGTTGGTATCATCAGCAAAGCTCTGCACTGAAAGTTTATCAGTGCAATTGGTAAATCATTAACATAAAGTAGAAATAAAAGTGGACCTAGAGTTGAGCCTTGAAGTATACCACATGTTATAATTTCATTGGCATATCTAGTGGAATCTACTTTGACATATTGGTTACGGTTTTGAAAAGAACTCTCAAACCATTTATGCGAGACTCCTCAAACGCCATATAAAGAGAGCTTAGACAGTAGAATGCTGTGATTTACTGTGTCAAAGGCCTTTGACAAATCAAGAAATAGACCACATGTGATTTGTTTTCTATCAATTACTAGCTTTAAATTGTCTGTAATTTCAAGAATAGCCTGCTCAGTTGAGTATCCTTTCCTGAATCCAAAATGATATTTGTATAAGATTTGGTGTTTTTCTATGAAGGAATATAGTGGATTGTAGACTAGTCATTCAAGTATTTACTGAAAGGTGAGAGAGTTGCTATAGGGCGATAATTGCTAGGGTTTGTAGCATCTCCATTTTTATATACTGGAGACACCTGAGAGACTTTTATATATCAGGAACAATGCCAGTTTCTATAGACTGGTTGTAAATATATGTTAGAGGTATTGACAATGGTTGAGCAGCTATTTTGATTAATTTGTTAGGGATATCTAGGGATGACTTGTGGTCATTTAAGCATTTAACTATTGAGCAGACTTGGGTTTCAGTAACACAAGATAGAACAAAGCTGTCTACCGGGGTTGATTTAATGTACTGGGTAGGATTTCCTTCACGACATACCCCTCTGTAATCCAGAAAAGGAAGCGATCGCTGTACGTTTATGAGCTAACCCCCCGAAAAAATACCGGAGGGCGTCTGCATCTGAAGGGTTTATAGTTTATAGTAGTTTATAGTGGTTTATTCACAATTAATCACACACAGAAAGCAAACAAAAACTAACAAACAATACATTAACAACAAAAATACATGAAAAATTGTGAAAGGAGATAGAAGAGGTTATCCCTTTCTAGTCCACCTCCTTAACATATATAGCAATATTAAAAAATCCTAATTACTTGTCTATAAATTCAAAAACTATGTATATACAATTGGGTATACTTATATAATAAAAGTTTAAAATGGTAATTAGTATAAATCGTGTTTCAAGTAAATTCATTAACTATCTTATTTCTAAAAGTTCTTAAGTCTTTTGCTTCAGCGGTCTCTATTCTTAAATTGTTCCATAAATTAACAATGTGAAGAAAGAGTGTTTATAGCAATTTAACTTGTCAGATTTCGTCTTAAGCTTGAAGCAATTGTTGGATCTCAGCGGTCTGTATTTGTCAGAAAAGCTAAGGAATTCGTATGGATTCAGACAATTCAGTCCAGTTATTGTCCTGTAGCATTCAGTGAGTGATGATAAAGTTCTCCTTTTTTCTAATGATGGCCATTTAAGTCGTTTCAATCGATCTTCATACGACATATCATTTGCAGTTATACCAAGCGCAGATCTGGAAGCTCGTCTTTGGACTTTTTCTAGAGTAGCAATGTCTTTCTTTAGATGTGGCGACCATACTGGGGAACTGTATTCAAGGATTGGCCTTACAAGGAAAGACATTGCTACTCTAGGAAAAGCCAAAAGACGAGCTTCCAGATTTGCAATGTCTTTCTTTAGATGTGGCGACCATACTGGGGAACTGTATTCAAGGATTGGCCCTCCTTGTAAGGCCAATCTTTAAATACAGTTCCCCAGTATGGTCGCTACATCTAAAGAAAGACATTGCTACTCCAGTAAAGATATATTTTCGAAAAACGTTTGTATGTTGAGGTGTTCCCTCGATCCGACAAAGAATATCACATGGTGTACAAACTTCATCACGATGGACGATGTGCATCAATGTAAAGGTACAGTACCTTCTATCAAAATGCGAGTAGTCACTTTTGCACTCTGGCTGTGTAGAGTTCGTAAATACCAAGTAACTGCTCGACAGATAACCTGCCTTTGAAATAACTGCTTCATCTTCGACAAATCTCAAGCCGCACGCGCCGCCATAGTGGATAATAGTAGTACACAGATTCTCACGTCCAAATCTCAGGCGTGGCAGCTCATTACACTAGCAGGGGAACATTATTTGAACTGTTCCAACAATTTTGTACATAGCGCCGACAGTTCCCGTGAGGTATTACAGAATAGTTCAGCTAGAGTTAGATTAATTTTCACAGTAAGCGATGCTTCTGTTATCTAAAGCAAACTGTGGATGCTAACAGGGTAACCCACTTACTCCCGTAAGACCAGCTATCTAGTTTTGTTAAACTAGCTATCTAGCCTTATTCTGCCATGTATCTGTCCTATACCGTCATATCGCCCAATTTCACGTCAGTTTAAAGATAAATTCCTGTCTCACCCAACATCCACAACAATCAAATGATTTAGTTGATAAGGAGTACGAGGGGCAACACTCTCACTTAATGAGAAAGGTACATCACATCATGAACGCGAACAGGTACAGAAAACAAACGAACTTAAACAAATTTTAAACAGACGTGTATTTATTAAACGTTGTGTAAACCTTATTATCTCAAAATTAATAATAATTATCTTTTATCATCACCAGTATGGATTCAGACCACATCACTTTACTACTATGGCCATCTCTCGGCTTAGAACTTGTCAATAATATTTATGAAGGTTTTGAAAACAACCAGTACACTGTCCGTGGAGTCTTCATTGATCTTAGAAAGCATTTGATACAGTCAATCACGAAATACTTCTGGATAAACTAACTTTTTATGGCATTAGAGGTATCCCATTAACTTGGCTTACTAGCTATTTGTCCACAGACAGCAGTGCGTTGTGGTCCATGACGATACATCTTCATATAATCCGGTCGTTTGTGGGGTTCCCCAGGGTTCAGTTCTTGGACCTTTACTTTTTCTTTTATACGTTAATGATCTTTTTCATGTCTCCAACCTCTTGTCTATCATTCTCTTTGCTGATGGTACAAATATCTTTCTTCGTCATAATGACCTGGCTACCTTAGCAACCATTCTCAATGTAGAGCTCTCTTATGTTTCTTGTTGGTTTTATGCTAACAAACTTACTGTTCATCCTGACAAGTCTAAATTCATCATTTTTCACCATCGACGTAAACAAATTAACTCCTCAGATATAAATATGTTTATGAATAATTATTTCATCATGCGTGTGCAGGAAGACAAATCATTTCTCGGGATTATCATTCATGAAAATGTATCTTGAAAACCGCATATTTCTGCTGTATGTGATAAAGTCTCTAAAGAAATAGGAGTCTTGTGCAAGTCAAGGCGATACTTACCTTTTAACACTTTGAAAACTTTATATAATTCTCTTCTTCTACCCTACATAAATTATGGCAGTTTAGTATGGGCATCTTCTTATGCTTCTTACCTTAAACTCCTTTATGTACTTCAAAGGAAAGCCGTTCGTATAATTACTTTTTCTCCTCAGCGCACATCCTCTAAACCCTTTTTTCTAAGCATAATATTCTTTCACTTTACTCTTAGTCTATAAATTCCATGTCGCCTGTTTTGTATTCTCACATTTTAATAATCTTTTACCTGCTCCTGTTTCCTCGATGCTTCCTTTTAATTCTGAATATCACAATTATTTGACTCGTTCACGTTTTAATCTGTATAAAACCTGTCATAAATATCAATTTGCTATCACTTGGCAAGCTCCTATTATTTGGAATGATATTCCGTTATCGGTGGGCAATAATCTCACAGGAAG